GAGGGCTCTGCATCGGAGGCAGAGAAGGAGCTAGACAGCAGTGAGGCAGAAGAACAGCTGGAGCCTGTTCCCAGTGTGCGCATGCACAGAGCTGCCAGAAGACATGAACAACTAAGAAAGCCGGTCGACTTAAGACTAAAGCCACACCTTGGAGGTGAATGGCCCCTCCCATAGGAAGCAAAAAAGGAGGGGAGGGGGAGGGGGCTTTTGCAGGAAAGAATTCATTCCTTTGATCGTTTCAAGAGTGGGAAGTTCTGTTTGTGACTATAAGAGACTCTGTGCCAAGTTTGGCCTTGCCCTGCGTTGGGAAACTAGTTATTTGGCAGCACTCCAAGCGAGATAAGGTGCGTGTGGATAAACATTCCTCGGGAAGACTGTTTGCTAAGCCTTGCAGACTGCGAATGAAAGGAATTCACAGTCGTGTAAATAGAAGAGGTTTTGGAGGGACCAAGACTTTGCTTCTTGCTTTCTAAGGAAACCTCGGTCAGAAGGGTGTGGTGGTTGGAAGCCGTTAAGCAAGCATCTGGCGGGAATAATTGGTGCGTCAAATGTGTTTGGCAGATAAATGGATACCGCTAGAAGAGAGTATTCGTAGCTCAGGGTGGAACTGTAGAGTCCTGGGGGCTCTCTGGAATGGGTTGTTTTCTTGCAGACGTTTCGTGACCTAACTAGGGAACATCATCAGTTCCAGAAAATAGGAGAGGGGGAAGAAGAAGAGGAGGAGGAGGACGAGGATTGGAAGGACTTCGGTGCTTTCTGAGTTGAGTTGTTTTCCTGCAGACATTTCATTACCCAACTAGGTAACATCATCACTGTGAGAAGGAGGAGAAGTGGAAGGGGGGCATATAACTGAGTGGGCATGGCCAACTTGATGGCACTCACGCCCACGCCCACTCAGTCACATGCCCCCCCACCTAACCACGCCCGGAGGAAAAGGTAGACATTTTAAAAGGATTTTTCTCTAACTACCCACGCCCTCCCTTCGCCAGCCGTGAAGTGATTTGCAAGGCAATGGGATGCGCATGCGCGAAGAACATGGCGGTGACGGCAGCAGCTTTTTCGCTTGCCGGAGGTCTTTTCAACGCCTGCGGCCAGCCGCCACCTCTTTGAGAGCCGGTATGCAAAGCGTCAGGGCGAGTGAGCAGTGAGCAAGTGGGGTGAGCAGCTGGTGACAGGGGGACCCATTTGGGGGCATGGCCAGCCAGCCATCGCTACTGGTTCACCGAATTGGACAAAATTCCCGCCACCGGTTCGGGACCCTGGTCCGAACAGGCTGAATACCACCTATGGAGGAGGCTGAGGAGGAAGAGGAAGAGAAGGAGGAGGAGATTTGGTTTCCACAGATGACCGAGTGGCCCCTTGGGCTCCGAGACACATCATGCTTTCCATTAGGCCGTTATTGGAACAATACGGCACTGACTCGCACACAGGAAAGCAACAGTGTGAGGAACAATGCGGCCTATTGATTACAGTGAATTGTTCAAACAGTGCGTTTTTTCCTTCGTCTGGCAAGCATTGAAATCCAAATTCTCTTAACTTTCCTTTGAACTCCGAGGCCAAGATTGTGGGACTGGTTCAGAAGGGGTGGGGGGAGGGAAAAAAAGATATTTTGCTATATAAATACTATATAAATACTATATAAATACTATATAAATACTATATAAATACTATATAAATACTATATAAATACTATATAAATACTATATNCCCACCTCTGAAGGTTGGAAGGCTTGGTCAGCCCTGAGCCGGTGAGATTTGAACCGCTGACCTGCTGATCTAGCAGTAGCCTGCAGTGCTGCATTTAACCACTGCGCCACCTTGGCCCATAGGCTGACTCAGCCTTCCATCCTTCCGAGGTGGGTAAAATGAGGACCCAGATTGTTGGGGGCAATATGCTGACTCTCTGTAAACCGCTTAGAGAGGGCTGAAAGGCCTATGAAGCGGTATATAAGTCTACTGCTATTGATGATGTTATCTAGTTGGGTAATGTTCTAACCTAGGCTTCCCCAACCGAGTCCTCATTCCAAAAAACCTTTTATTGAATTCACGGTGAATTCCTCTCCAGCAAAGTCTTTCCTGTCCCACAGCTTTTCAAGGTAGTTCGCAATTACCGACCTTGATCGGGCTCAAAGAGTGGCCAGGCCGATATCTTTCAGACGCCGCAATACTTGGCAAGAATGCAGCAATGAACTAATGGCCTCCTGCAAACTCCACTCCCCTTTCTCTCCTCTTTTATTTCCTCTGGGAGGGGCCATTCACCGTCCACCTGTGCCTTTACTCCCGAGTTGGCCCTTGTTCCTTAGCTGTTCCCTTCGTCTGGCAACTCTACACATGCGCACACTGGGAACAGGCTCCAGCTGTTCTTCTGCCCCACTGATCTCCGACTCCGAAGGCAGCTGATAACTGGCATACGGTCCTGGCCCGCTCTCTGCCTCCGACACAGAGCCCTCATCCGAGCCTTCCCCAGACTCCAGGACTGTCCCTTCCCCAACCTCCTCTGCTGCCAACTCTGATGGCCACAAGAGTTAATGAAACGTCCTCTACCTAGGATCAAACCCACAGCCTCCTGACTGTGAGGCGAGAGCTCCACCTCCGGGCCACCGCACCTCTCCTCCATCGAAGCACCTGAGGACCTACCAGAACCTCTGCAGCCAACCAGAATCTGAGCAGAACTGGCCAAGGTTCTACAGATCCCAAACTCCCAACTTCTCAAGGAGGGCCAGCCAAGGACGACTTACCTCCCGAACGTACTGATTGCCGTCTCCGAAGCAGAGTAGCAAATGGGGCAGTACATGGACCACGTACGGTTCGAAGAGCTTCCCCAGCATGGTGCAGAGCATCTCAAAGGCAAACAAAGCCCCTGGGGAGAGAATAGAAACAGCTGCCTAAATATTTACCCACAAAGAAATAAAGGGACGCCAGTATAGACCTTCCTTGGGATGGATGCAGTGGCTCAGGGGCTAAAACGCTCAGCTTGTTGATCAGAAAGGTTGGCAGTTCAGCGGTTCGAATCCCTAAAGTGAGGAGAGCCTGTGGCTTAGAGGTTAACGCATCTACCTAATATGTAAGCAGGGGTGCGGTGACTCAGTGGCTTAAGACGCTGAGCTTGTCGATCGGAAAGGTGGTCGGCAGTTCGGCGGTTCGAATCCCCAACGGAGGGAGCTCCCGTGACTTGTCCCAGCTTCTGCCCCACCGAGCAGTTCGAAAGCATGTAAAAAATGCAAGTAGAAAAATAGGGGCCACCTTTGGTGGGAAAGGAACAGCGTTCCGTATGAAAACTGCCTGAAAACAGCCCCCCCAAATGGCCAAAAAACAGGCATATACGCGCCGGCAAGTTGGTCTTCGGGTTTCTGGTGCTCGCATGTGCACGCATTCTAGTTTGAGCCCTTGGTTCGCCATCATTGGACTAGAAGATCTCCAAGATCCCTCCCAGCCCTAGGATTCTGCGTTTTACCAGAAACGAGGAGATTAGGGCCCTAATCTGGATGACCGAAAGTCCTCAAGACGTTGAGAGGGGAAGGGTGAGGATCCTTCGACTCACCTTCCCGCCGCCGGAAGTTCTTCTTGTCCTGGATGGCATCGGTCAGCTTGGCCATCATTTCCTGCTGCTTCAGGGAAAGGATTCCCAGCCCTTTCACCAGGCCGGCTAGCCCGTAAGCAGCTCCTTTGCGCTCGGCGTACTTATCGGATTCCAGCAGAAGTTGCAGTAGCTTCTGGATCATGCTGCCCGCATCTTCTTTGATGGCTGGCACGAGAGGTGGTAAGCAGCTGGCCACGGACTCCTGAACCTGCAAAAGCCCCCAAGCAGATTGTTCTAGGTGGGCTGCTAAATGGCTAATACCCTGTTTCCCCGAAAATAAGACCTTCCCGGATAACAAGTCCAATTGAGCTTTTTGAGCGCATGTTCAAAAGGAAGGAAGGAAAAGGAAGGATGGAAGGGAGGGAGGGAGGGAGGAATGGGAGAAAAACAGAAAGAAGAATTGAAAGCAATAAAGAGGAAGGAAGGAAGGAAAAGAAAGGATGGAAGGAAGAAAGGATGGAAGGGAAGGAAGGGAGGAATGGGAGAAAAGCAGAAAGAAGAATTGAAAGCAATAAAGAAAAAGATAGGAAGGAAGGAAGGAAGGAAGGAAGGAAGGAAGGAAGGAAGGAAGGAAGGAA